AAAAAATCATAATTTGTGGTTAGTTCCATTAACATGATATGATTATACTCTTTTTGAACATCTAATTACACTTATAGATAAAAATACAAAAAAAAAACATTTAGACTTATAGATAAAAAATACAAAAAGTTCATAATTTGTGATTAGTCAAAAATTTAGTTTCTATGAGTTCTTGGAAAATATGTGCTTAAAAAACAAAAAAATAATAATTAGTCACTCAGTCTATAAAAATATATATAGTCGACAAAAAAAAAAAACATCCGGTTGCCTCCGATACCACAAATATCCATCCTCCTCCAATCAGCAGAAGCGAACCAGAGACAAATCCTTGATTTCAATGGCTCTGAAGGCTTCTCCAGTTGCCGGATTATTCCCTCCTCTCCGGCCTACCGCCTCTTCGTCCCCTTCGACTTCTAATCGCCCTTCTTCCCTCAGGGTTCTTCCCCTCAGACCTTCCTTCTTCGGAAACTCCGGTTCGTCTTCTTTCGCCTTAGGGTTTTGCTTTCTCTTCATTTTATCAGCAACAGCTATTTCGACTCTCTACAAGTAAAATTTCAAGTCATGAGTATCGATTGTGCTTTTTGGTGTACGCTTTGTAGGATTTTGTTTCTTGATTTATTATGGTTTCTCAAATAAGAGATAGATAAGGTTTCTCATGCTTCAGAATAGCTCTATGGTGTGTTACCTTTTCTCTGTACTCAGATGACTTATAGACTCAAGTTGAAATGCAGGACATGGTCTCTGTACTCGATTACTTCAGTATGCTTTGACTTACTCACATATCTAACATTTACTTTTCTTAGTTCCAAATGTGAGCCTTCCTGCGCATTTTTAGTTCTGTTATTGGACTGAAGCCCCCATGAACATTGCAATGCTTATTGTTACACTCAAAAAGGACTATTGTTTTTCTATGAAAGGTGGAGCTCTGAGAGTCAATGAGCTGAGATTAGCTTGTGCAAATAGACTCAAGTGCAATGGTCATGGCGTGGGAGGCTCTGGTGCTACCATGAATCTTTTTGAACGGTTTTCTAGAGTGGTCAAGGTACTAATTACCTTGACGATTCTTTATCTCTCCATCAAGTGTATTTCTTTCCTATGTATTTTAACGCATTGGAGCTCATTAATCAGATCTCGTCTTTATTTTATTTGAATAAGCGAAGTCATATGCAAATGCGCTTATAAGCTCCTTCGAAGACCCGGAGAAAATCCTGGAGCAAACTGTCATTGAAATGAATAGTGACTTGACAAAGATGCGCCAAGCCACTGCACAGGTCCGTCTCGTACTCTTGAACAAACTTTATACATGTACCTTTGTGATGTTTTTCTTCTTCAGCCCTATTTCTAAGAGTTCATGATTTTGGAGATTAGCTAACTTGTGTATTATCAACGTGTCTGAAGGTTTTAGCATCACAAAAGCAGTTGGAGAACAAATATAAAGCTTCACAGCAATCTACTGAAGATTGGTACGTTTGTTTTAGCCTGGATCCTTGCTTTCTTACTTAAATTTTTCCCGTTCCTGACTATTCTTACACGTTACACGCCCAAACAGGTACAAAAGGGCACAACTTGCTCTTGCAAAAGGAGATGAGGATCTTGCACGTGAAGCTCTTAAGCGACGAAAGTCTTTTGCTGTATGTTATATCTATTCATTCTCTTATTTCCCAGTTTTCTGTTTCTTAAATATGCTTGCTTCAACAAATAAAAGAAACCTGGGACCTAATCACTTGACGCTTCAAGCCCTTTGAGGCTGATCTCTAGGGTTTCTGCAAAGTTTAGGAAATAGGTGGTGAAAGTAAAAATAAAAAGTTAGATATCTAAGTATACAGTAATTCTCCTCATGACTCCCTAATTAACTTCGAATAGTTGTCTGAAATGTTGACCTTGTGTTGATAATTTTTATATGCAACAGAGCTTGGCAGTGTTTATCATTACGAGTATTCTTTTGAAACATCTTGTTTCTTGAGTTTGTTAAGGAGTTTCAGTGTCAGAACAAAAAAGAATTTGGACATAGGTAACACTACGGATGCAACCAGAAAATGATATATATATGTTTCTGCATATTAGGATGTTCGCTATTGTCTTTCAGTGTCAGAACAAATAAGAATTATAGACATATGTAGCAATGCGTATACAGCCAAAAACAATCCTTCTGTGTTTTCTGCATATTAAGATGTTGACTGTTGTCTTTATGTACCGTTGTTTGAGCAACGAACTGTATGACTCTTTTTCAGATTTTTTGATTATGTATTTTGTATAACCTTTGCAAATGACTTAAGAAGTGAAAGCACTAGCTGATGCCTTCCAACAATTAGTGAAGTCTCTTAAATACATGCACTGTGTAACTTTTGAAAGTTACAGTACAAGAAAATCTTATTGACTTAGAAATTTTTGTTGCGGAGTTATTTATTTGTTAATTTTTAATCTCGGCAGGACAACGCTAGCGCTCTGAAAACTCAACTAGATCAGCAAAAAGGTGTTGTCGACAATCTTGTTTCAAATACAAGGGTTAGTTATTATCTATGTATTTTGACTCACTATAAAATGTGGAATTCGGCTACAGTTAAATGAATTTATTGTCAGTGCAGTGCTTGACAAAACAATGAATCATGTATATTGTATGCATGATTTACTTCAAGCCACCATTACATGAGAATGGCTTAGATATAAGACTATAGTTGATTTATGAATGCCTTGGTCGAAGGTTCATATGATAAGCGTCTCTCTCTACACTTTTTCTTAATGACTAAGAAACTATTGTATTTGTGTGGACATAACATAGAAGATCTGTGGCAGAAAATGCTTATTTTTTCCTGAAATTGCCTAGGACAAAGATTGGTTCTTAGAAAATTGAATTTTGTAAAATGTTCAGTGTTTCCCCTTTTCTTTGCAGCTCTTGGAGAGCAAGATACAAGAGGCGAAAGCAAAGAAAGATACACTCCTTGCACGTGCTCGCACTGCTAAGTTTGTATCATTTCCCTTATCCTTCTTTACATCTTTTATTGGAAGCTTGTCCATATTGAATGCTTCATCTTGATCTATATATTTTTCCCAACTGTTTTTTTCTGCTAGGACTGCAACCAAAGTGCAAGAGATGATAGGGACAGTGAATACAAGCGGTGCTCTTTCAGCTTTTGAGAAAATGGAGGAGAAAGGTAAGATCTCTTGATCCTTTATATTGAGCAAAACTTATAAAAAAAATTCTATGTATCATTGACAGAAATTTAGTCGTATTATTCCTTTCTTAATTTGAAGTTTGGCCTAGAGTTAGGAAGAGGATAAAATTTACCCACTCAGTCTTTGAAAGTGAGTAGGAAAGTCCACTTTTTACCAAAGATGTGTTACTTATTTTTGCTAGCAGTTTGTGTATGTTTTGATGAATGAACTTTTTGTCATTTTCAACAAGGGTTTTATTCATGTTAGTTCCTGCAGGAATATTCCCCTTATTCTTCCTGCAAATTTCTGGGTCACTGATATCCGAATTCTGAAGTTGGAATTTTTCGTTGTGAAATACTACACATTATTTTTGTTTGATGTATGACTATTCTGGTGGAGGCTATAATCTAGAAAATGCTTGACAGTGATGGCTATGGAGTCTGAAGCAGATGCACTCACTCAGATTGGAACTGATGAACTTGAGGGCAAGGTTGGTTGTCTATCTCTTTCCTTAGTATTTCTTTGAGAATCTGTCTCATCTAAAATGATTTAAGCAGTGAATCTTGCATTTTGCTGCTTCATCTAACAATTTCTATGACTATGAGAGGATAGCCCAATCAATCTTGTATGTTTGTTGTCTGAAGAAGAACAAGTTAATATTAATCTTGTATGTTTGTTGCTTCATCTAACATTTTCTATGACTGTGAGAGGAATCTGTTTTACTGTATGTTTGATTGGTTTTATTTTGAGTTGAAAAGTTACTTTTTTTGGTGGTAGGAGAAGAACAACTATGTATACAACCATCTTAACATTAACTTGTTCTTCTTTATGACTTGCAGTTTCAAATGCTTGAAACTTCATCTGTGGATGATGATCTCGCAAACTTGAAGAAAGAGTTGTCCGGAAGCTCAAAGGTTTGTAATATGTTGGGGATCTTATTTGTTTCTTGGTGTTAACAATCTCATGACTCCCTAAAATATCTGTGTCACAAGCTATCACATTCCAAATAAACATCTGAAAAGACAGATGTGTCGGGCAAGTTTGGATGGTTCCAG